TGCATCCGATGAAGAGAGCTGTAGCTCACGAAAGCTTATTCTCAAATAAATTTGTTAGTCTGTAAGGTGCCACAAGTACTCCTTTTCTTTTTGAACAAAATTAGTTGCAATTGATATTACAGTTTCTCCTCATGTAAGCAAATGTTTTAAATTGTACTAAACATCAACAGAAAAACTGAAAAACATTTTACCAGATTAAGCTCTCTCATGCTCTATGGTAGGATTCTGTCAAGGTTCCTCCCTCACTCTGAACTCTAGGGTACAGATGTGGGGACCTGCATGAAAAACCTCCTAAGCTTATCTTTACCAGCTTAGGTCAAAACTTCCCCAAGGTACAAAATATTACACCCGTTGTCCTTGGACTGGCCGCTACCACCACCAAACTAATACTGGTTACTGGGGAAGAGCTGTTTGGACGCGTCTTTCCCCCCAAAATACTTCTCAAAACTCTGCACCCCACTTCCTGGACAAGGTTTGGTAAAAAGCCTCACCAATTTGCCTAGGTGACTACAGACCCAGACCCTTGGATCTTAAGAACAATGAACAATCCTCCCAACACTTGCACCCCCCCTTTCCTGGGAAATGTTGGATAAAAAGCCTCACCAATTTGCATAGGTGACCGCAGACCCGAACCCTTGGATCTGAGAACAATGAAAAAGCATTCAGTTTTTTACAAGAAGACTTTTAATAAAAAATAGAAGTAAATAGAAATAAAGAAATCCCCCCTGTAAAATGAGGATGGTAGATATCTTACAGGGTAATTAGATTCAAAACCATAGAGAACCCCTCTAGGCAAAACCTTAAGTTACAAAAAAGATACACAGACAGAAATAGTTATTCTATTCAGCACAATTCTTTTCTCAGCCATTTAAAGAAATCATAATCTAACACATACCTAGCTAGATTACTTACTAAAAGTTCTAAGACTCCATTCCTGGTCTATCCCCTGCAGAAACCAGCATATAGACAGACTATAGACAGACACACAGACCCTTTGTTTCTCTCCCTCCTCCCAGCTTTTGAAAGTATCTTGTCTCCGCATTGGTCATTTTGGTCAGGTGCCAGCAAGGTTACCTTTAGCTTCTTAACCCTTTACAGGTGAGAGGAGCTTTCCCCTGGCCAGGAGGGATTTCGGGATTTCAAAGGGGTTTACCCTTCCCTTTATATTTATGACAGATTCATATTCAGAGAAGCAGTACTTCTGTGTCACAATTTGCGTGTGTGTATTCTTTGAGAGTTAAAGTCAAACCCCCAGGAAGGGATGAGATAGTTCCCTTTCTCACCAAGGAGGGACAAACTCTTCAGTGATACCCCATAGATTGCTCAACAAAGGTGGTGATGCTGCAAGTTAATATGCGTTACTCTGGGCTTGTCTACACATAAAACTACTAACTGGCAAGCTAGGGTGTGAATCTACAGTGCCACGCAGTAACTTCCCATCTGGACATTGTTACAGATGTCTTATCGGTTGGGGTTTTTTGTTTTTGATTTTTTTTTTTAAATGAAGTGCCATTTTTAAAAAGTTCCTTGTTTTGCACATTGTATTCCTCCCACCTCCCACGGTTCCCAGGATCTTAAGAAGCCTGTGTGATTCTGTTATAAATTGCTTAATAGGAGAATCTGTAACTTCCTAAATTATGTAATTTATGAAAAATGTCTTAATTTGTCAGTGCCCAGAAAGGTTCTTTAAAGTGGTAACCTCATCATAATCTACAGGCCAAGAGAAACAGCTGTAATTTTTCTGTTTATAGTCCATCTCTGGCAAAACTTTAGCAGAAAAAAATATTTTAATATGAAAACAATAAAATTTAATTTTAATAAACCGATTATATTGGAAGGGTTACTTTGATTCCTACCATGTCAGTGAAATTGTTTATGAAAAATATTATCTCAGAACACAGATGACTTGTTTGTATAATTTCTAAAGTAGCAACTGTTTCAGAGCTTGTTCAGAAGAAAAATGTCTGTTTCTTCCACTTATATGGCCAATAATAACTTCTACATTCTGACAGAAATCATGTGTATGCTGGCGGGCAGGAGAATTTCAAAAGCACTGAATCAGGAAGTGACCAATTAAATAAAATATAGGTTCATCAGACACTGACCTAAAGAAGCTGCATAGACTTCTTTGGCTCCCTAAACTCATGGCCTGCCCTTGATTCTGGAGTCCAAAAGATGATCACTTAGGTTTGTTCTTTGTGTGGGGAGAAAACATGCATTTTCGGTGCAGATAACAGTTATTTTAGGTTTAAGAAAAACAAAATATATATAAAGTCTCCATGAAAGAGAACACACTAAGTCACCAACTCTCTACATCACTAAAGATACACAAAACAGCAGATGCCTCATAATTGAGCTAGCTAGCAGTCAGGATTCCTCTAGCTCGAAAGGTGCAGCACGTGGAAAACAGAACATCTCATTTCAATTATATACTGAAATACATCACAGTCTACCCACCTACCTACAAGATTCTAATACTTCCATCCTCATTGCATCTAACTGAAAACAGAATTAGACCTTCCACTTTTTGGCAGTTACTTCTAAATATACTCTAAAGCAGTGGCTCTTAACCTTTCCAGACTATTATAACCCTTTCAGGAGTCTGATTTGTCTTGAGTACCCCCAACTTTCACCTCACTTAAAGAACTACTTGCTTACAAAAATCAGACATAAAAATCTGCCCACTATTACTGAAAAATTGCTTACTTCCTCATTTTTACCATACAATTATAAAATAAATCAACTGGAATATAAACACTGTACTTACACTTCAGTGTATAGTATATAAAACAGTATAAACAAGTCATTGTCTGCATGAAATTTTAATTTGTACTGACTTCACTCGTGCTTTTTACGTAGCCTGTTGTAAAACTAGGCAACTATCTAGATGAGTTGATGTATCCCCTGGAAAACCTGTGTGTACCCCCAGGGGGTAAATGTACACCTGATTGAAAACCACTGTGCTGAAGAGCTGAGTAACTCCTCCCATCAAAATTGCCAAATATGGAAAACAGACTTAAGGAAATGGCATATTACTAAGTATTGTTGGGGAGTCCTGTCATGCCCTTATCTGGGAACATGCTCTTCTCCAGTAAAATGCAAACACAGCTAAATGGTCAGTCAAGCTATCATTTAAAGTTAGACATGTCCCAAAGTAAGTTTTTTAAACCCTAAGAGAGCCTGTTAATGAATAGAAGAAACAGAAAGAAGGTGAAAACTAAAAGCAGGAGATAGGTGGTTTTCTTCTAATATGGTACATCACATCTGATAAATTTCTGTAACATTAAGAAGCCAAGTGTAATGTTTGCCCAGAGGAGCAACATTCAGCTTTGAGATACACAACATATTCTACAGAGGACATTACAGAAATAATGCAAGTTAGAGTTTCAACAGTTTTTATGAAGCTGATCCTCAGTACCTACTGTATAATAGAGAAGGAAAAGATACAAAAGGTCTAAGTTACCAAGATCTAAAACTTTATAAGCCTATATATGGAGAGAGAGACAGAAAGACATTGTAAACAGATAGAACGTTGACTTTTCAGCTATTATTCTTTTTGACTGAAATCAGACATACAAAATCTGTAGATGTATATGAAACCACATTGTAAAAAGAAGTTTTCGAGTCCCCTCTACTTCAGAGTTTAAGGATCCTGCCAACATAAAAATCAATAGTCCAAAACGTATTCCCTGTTAAATCCAATCTACTTTGCCTCATCTTATTTTCTATTGAAGTGTTAAACTATTTTCCAGAGCTGAGAATTTAATTTCAGCAATTTTAACTAGTAAAGACAGGCAAAAATGGCCAATATTATCTTTTAATGGAACAGGTTTACTTACTGGCACTCCGGCGCTAGCTTTCTAAGAACTGAAAATCTAGCAGAGAAATCCGTGGGAAAAAAAATCTCCTTCTAAATATTCCAACAAGATTTCATACAGCACAGCTCCCCTTTAAGTACAGCTGAACTCAGCAACGCATACATGTACACCCTAATTTCCACCACCCCCACCCTACACACACACACTGGATAAAATATATTCATAATAATATATAAAAGAATTGCACATAATTTGGAGTTGGGCTACCAGCCCAGTTCTCTATCTGCAGTTTTAAAGGAGATATACTCCAGACTTGGGCTGAAATTTTCTTTAAACTGCCTGGTAAACCAGGAATATGATCCATAGGGAAAGAAGAGCTCATTAGCCTGAGTTCTCCCCCTCTCTACAGATCAATGTATCCTGGACCCATATAAAAGGGAAAAAATGGCAGTGCTGGCAGGTCAAGCTCTCTGATGGATAGGTTGCCTTCAACCAAATCAAGATTTGCAGCCTGGCCCAGTCTAATAGGCCACTAATCAAGTAGAACAGAGCCTTAGGTAAGGAAATCTTCTTGATTATGCAGTGTCTTAAAGATTGAGTGAATGGCTATTTAAATGTCTTGTGAGATTTTAGAAGTTACAGAGCTACAAACCCTTCTAATATCACAGCTTACAACTCTGCTTAATCAGGTTTCTAAGATTCCAGTGGCATTTTAGAATAATAAATCATTTCTCTTTATAACAATTTTGCTCACCACCAAAACTAAATTGTAATCAGTTCCAACTGGTCCACGCATGTTAATTCCATAATAAATGGCATTATCTCACCAGTTAACAAATCTTTCTGTATTAACACCAAAAGCTATGGTAAAACTATAATGAAAAGTTACTTTTAAAATAATTTTATTTTCATAGTATCTTATTTGATGACGAATTAAGAAATGTAGATCTCAACTTATTTTCATATACAATACATAAAATATATCAATTATTTAGTAGGGTTTTTCAATCTGTTTATAGTTTAACAAATGTGGGTAATATTTTATTTACCTAGAGTCTTAAAAATATAAACAATGGGATAGCCATCATATGTATCTGTTCTTCTGCCCTATTTTCTTAGAGAATGACAAAAAACACACATTCAAAATGCAAACAGTCCAAAATATTTGGATAGCTTACTTACATCATACTTTGCAGTTCAGGAGTAAAGCTTGTTGATTTCCCTGTCCCTCTTCCACTGCTTGAAGAGGCAACATTTGACATCGGGCTAGCTGCAATATTGCTCATCTGAGTAAACAAAAAGAAACAACAGAGCTTGCAAACATATTTAATTTAATAAACAGGGGATCTTGGAAATGGCAGCAACTATAAACCACTTCACAAAGTATATGTGGTTTAAAATATCCAGCCTACCATACTATGTTTCATGTTGAAGTTAATAACATCTTTCATTCAGCGCTACAAGAAAATTATTTTCTCCTCTATTACAGGACAAATTGAGAAAACCACACTGTTCATTTTAGTAAATAGATACATAAGAGGAATCAATAATAATTGTAATAGTTTCACCTTAATGACTGCTACGTACCCTTGCTTTGCATTACGGATTCAGAAGGAAAAAAGCAATTCAGGCAAGACATATAATAATACATATAAAAGCCTTTTCAATGTAGAAGAGAAGCCTATTTGAGTTGCCACCTGTATTATCAATAAAATATAAACTGTGGTCAGCAATCACTGCAACTAGCCTCATTGAAAGTGTGTGTTGGGTACTTATGTGTGTTCACACTTCTCCACTGGCTTTCTTTTTTTTTAAATAAACTCAGGGAGCCATTCAAAAAGCAACAATGCAAGCTTATCTCAATATCTATTCAAGAGCTCACATTATTATGGGCTATATGTGTGTCTTTCGTAGGCCCAGTCTTCCAACAGAAGCGCATAACCTTCAGCTCATGCAGTAACCAAATCCCATAGGGACCTTATTCATATAGGGTTTGTCTACATAGGGAGAGAAGATGAATTAAATATAGCTGTGAAGTTAAAGTGCATTAAACGTAGCTTTCATTCAGAAGGAAAGTAGCCTCAGTTCACTGTAGCTTAATCTTCATTGGAGTGACTAAGGTCCTTACAGTATTGAAACTAAATACTGAATTTCTAAAAAATAAGCCAGTAAGAAATGTGAATGAACTCAACAGTGAGATATTCAACTTTAAATCTGATTTACCCACTCTGCACTATTTTCAGCTTTATGTATGATCCAGTATCTGTAAAAAGCAGGAATACAAAATGAACAAAAAAAATTTTTTTAATGTTTAATGGTTTTCCTGACAGAATTTCTGTAAAATTAAAACAGTTTATTCCAAGTTGAAACATGGACTCAGTTCTACTCTAACCAGACCACATATACTAATTTAGCTTTCTATTTTTCCTCTCTAATAAAATGCAAGTCAAAATATCTTTAAATCATGTCATCTATAATCTTAATTTACTGAAAACTAACCAAAGAACTACCAGACAATGCATAACATGGATATTTCATGAAGACCACCAAATAATAAAATTAACTTAATAAACTGAGTCAACATAATTAAAAATAAACACACAAGTTCATGTTTTAAACACCACTCATTAGAAGCAATATAAAGAGTCAAATGTTATCCAAGTATATTTCTATATGCGAAAATAGATACTCTTGCGTGTCTTGTTTTTACCGCCAAACAACATTTAGCAACACTAAAATATTCCAGGCACCATGAATGTCTTCTGATAAACAGAAGACACTCACAGTATATTTTTTCTCCTGTCTGGTTTGCTAAGAACTGGTAAACCTTCACTTATCCAAGATCTGCTCATTTCTTATGTTGTTGTTAGTAGTAGTTGTAATAATAAAATGCAGATGTTAATATCATTTGTTTTCAGTCAGTCATTTCCCAGTTATAATTTTACCTTTAACCTATGCTTTTAAAAAAAAGAAGCTGAACAATACAAAGTGTATATGAAGCCTTCTTTCCAACACTAACGCTTCATGTGGTTCATTACTATATATATTTTTTTTTAAAAGAAAGATATTAAGTCTTTTGAATTTGTAACATATTTTCCATGGTAATGTGGTACTTCCACCTTTTCCTGTTCTCTGTATGTATAAATATCTTCTATGTGTTCCATTCTATGCATCCGATGAAGTGGGCTGTAGCCCACGAAAGCTTATGCTCAAATAAATTGGTTAATCTCTAAGGTGCCACAAGTACTCCTGTTCTTTTTGCTGATACAGACTAACATGGCTGCTACTCTGAAACCTGTTATAATTATGGTTACAATAAAAAGATTAAGGATACATAGCACACAGATGCATCAAATAGAGAAACTTATAATATACACCTATATCTAAAACACTAGAGTAAACTGTTTTATATTAATGCTTTCACGTATAGTTTAAGAGACGACTTCCACTTATTTTCCAGAACATTGTAATTTAGGTTCTCACACTACAAACACGAGCACATGTTTAACTTTACTCACATATTTAGTTGCACTGAAGTCTGACTTTAGTCATATGAGTAGGCACACATACTATTTCAAGTGTTCTGAGGACCAGGGCCTTGGTCAGCAGTTACCATTAGTCTCAAACCTAAACAGTAAAATTAGTGAGTTTAAAAAAAATGCAATAAACTTGCCTGTAAGTGTAAAGGAAGATTATGTGTTACTTCTAGCAAAGTGCTTCTAAACATTGGAGGTGTACCAAAGACCCACAGACTTGGAAATTTAAATCAAGAGTATATTTAGTCTTACTTTTGTTTTACGCATTTTGCTTATTACTCTTTATTTTATTATTTATTTAACAGTTAATGTCTAATTTTTAATAACTCAAAATATGTATATCCACTCTTATGATAATGTCAAAATTCTTAAATCGAAAGGTCATAGAGACGTAGAAATACAATTCAGTAAAGCTGTGCAAGGCATTAACACTAGTTTTTGGCTAGAATTTTCTTGCCCTTAAAAATTTTAAAGAAAATATTATTAAAGTTAATGATTAATAAGATAAGGCCCCAATCCTGAAAACACACATGCTTAATTTTAAGCACAGTCTTATTCACTTCATTAATGAATATTAATAATTATATTGCGGAGGAAAGTTATACATGCACGTGTCTGCAGGACTGGGATTTTACAGGACTGAGATTGTAACATTATTAGGGTTTGTCAAAAAAAATTAAGTGCATGGCATGCAGTCTTTATTTCCCTCCCACTCACTAAGTAAGGGCCAATCAGGCAGCCCGTGTTCACATTAATAATTGTTACAGACATGGCTATCCCTTACCAGCATTGCCAACTCTCATGATATTTGGCGCTTTACTTAAAGCTCACCACCCTGGAGACAAGTGATTATGTGATCATCTTACCTTTTATTTAAAAAAAAAAATTCTAGCCCTATGACTGCAGAGAAAAGCTTGAAAGTGAGACTCACTAAAGCTCAGACACTAAACAGCAAACAAAGACAAATAAAAGTTACATCTCATAAGTTTTGAGCTAATGATTTTTGAACATTTCAGTACTGCCTTGGCAGTACTGCCTTGCATACAAGTAATCCTACTGACTTTAGTGGGACTCTTCCAAAAATAATTGTGCACATAGGCCACAATCCTGCAAAGGGTTCCACCCAGAAGTGTAACTTTCAGTGTCAGGGTGTCATTTATGCCCACGTGTTTTGTGTCAGCACAATTACTTGCTAAGGCTCCAATCCTGCAAACACTTACACATGAGCAGTCCCATTAAATCCAATGGAACTACCTACCTGCATAAATCTTTGCAGGATCAGGAACTATGAGCATACCAGCTCTATCCATTCGTTAAACCACTGTCTTCCTACTAAAACCAAAATATTTAACTTTCAAATCAAGCAGGTGTACAGCATTTTCTTGACATGATGAACCAACAGCTCATCATGCCCTGTCATAGCCTTTAAAATAATTACTTCCCCAGCCCACATTTTGTTTGATGGTTTAGATAATTAACTTCTTTACACATCAAAGTCCCATCATCCGCATGTTCTATTTCCTTTCTTCCGGACATTAAAAACAAAGTCAAAAGCAGAAGCACTCTCAAATCAATTTTCTCCAATAAATACAGCTAACATGGAATTGAAAACCTACTGTAATCTTCAACGGGTCAATGTACTACAGTTGTTTTAGCTTTGAATTGAAATACAGCTGTTTGCCATATTGCACAAAGTGAATTCAGATGTTTAGATCGGGTCACAGATTATTTCAACATGTCATAGTTTAATCATGAACTCTAGCAAGGAGAATAACATTTGATTAACTATTTAAAACTAGTAATTATAAAGGCCTTATCTAAATCTGTGTCACACTTGCAAATTATTTTCCTCTTTAAAAAAAATCTGGCAATTTTATAATTAAAAAGAAAAGACAATTTACATAAATAATTTTATCAATGAAAACACATAAAAATAAGATACCTATCCTGATCGCTCAACACCTCTGACACAAATTAAATATACGGTCACATAAGAAACAATTCACTCCCTCACACTCCCGAACGATCTTGAGTGGAAAAATGCTAAGCCTCCTCTGGTTGAGTTCAGACCAGCGATTCAGACCTACTGTTCCATAACCTGTCCCTTCAGTCTGTGTCTTCCTGTGTAATACCCACATGATAGGACACACGTGTGATTGACTAATCTTTAAGGTAGAGCGCACAGTCCATCTGTTTACTCAAGCTTTTGGTAAGGGATGGTATTTTGCACTTCCTCATAAACTTCTATAAATAAATGGTGCCCTGAATATCAACAAATTTGGACTATTTCAGATAAATGTATTTTCTAACATAGAGATGGCTTCAACTGGGCTGTTTTGTCTTAGGGGCCTGACTCTTCTCCCATTTACACTAGACTTACACCTACAAAACGCCTCTGAAGTCAGTGTCATTAACTATGATTTACTATAAATCATATAAGCAATAGGAGAACGGGGTTATGTACTTCTAATAAAAGTAAAGAGGCAAATCATATAAAACTTTACAAGGTTCCAAGAAAATTAGAAGTTAATTACATGTTTCCATTCAGCAGGAGATAAGGAATGTGCATATGGTACCTTTCTTACTTTAGGTGCAAAAATAAATTACTGTTACAATAAATTATTTCTGCAGACTTCCATCTAATTTTTGTATTGCATCAGGCCCTCATTTCACTTCTTCCATAACTACTTTTTGCATATGATCTGAAATAATGCAAAATGGGATACATTTTTACTTACATAAAACTCATACAAAACAGGAAGGAAGAAAACCACTGGATGAGAAGATGCTTTGAGCAAATACTGTATTAAAATTAGTGTTTTTGTTTTAAATATTCTAGTCTTTACTGCAATTTAAACTTAAGCCAAAATCAGAAATGTCACTATTAAGTATTGTATTTGTGCAAACGCTCAGCATTGTGCAAGATGTAGTACAAGAAACAGTCCCTGCTCCTTTGGCGTTTAGGAAGTAAGGGTTTTAATTAACCATGTGTATTTAGGCCTTTGGTTTTATCTTATCATGCAACAGAAATGTTAAGTCATCTTCATGATGGAGTGCTGGCGTGTGACTCGGGATTTAGGGTTCTATGAAAATACAAATAATAAAACAAAATAAAATAAACACACGAGAAAGTACACTTCTAAACTAGTCTATCTAGTTTTTAAAAAAGTATTAAAAGAGAATGGACAATGAAAATAATTGTATACTGGATTATGTACAGTGTAACACTGACCCTCTATTTCAGTGGTTCTCAACCTATTTACCATGTGGGCCACATATGAAGCTTTTTATGTGTTATATGGGCCACATCCACAAATATTTAGTTGTAGGCCTTCACATTATGTAACTGAATGGGACACTTTCATTTGACTGTTTCTTTTCAGTTCCGACCTGTACTTCATCAACTTCTGTCCCCTCCTCTTTACTACAATAATCCCTTTAACAAAATCATCCCTTAAGAGATGTCTATCTAATTCGCATACTCCTCTGTACCTGTCAGCTTTTCCCCAGCCCATAGTCTAAGAACTCCTCTTCTACGACCTTTATAATTTTACAAGCCAGCAATTTGGTTCCTTTTTGGTTTAGGTGGAGCCCATCCTTCCTGTACAGGCTCCTCATTTCCCAAAAGGTTCCCCAATTCAAAATAAACATAAATCCCTGCTAGGAACACCAGAGTCTCATCCACTTATTGAGACTCTGCAGTTCTACCAGTCTAACTAGCCCTGCAAGCGGAACAGGAAACATTTCAGAGAATGCTACCATGGAGATCCTGGACTTCAATTTCTTACTTACCAGCCTAAATTTGGCCTCCAACTCCTCTCTCATACCTTTCCCTATATCACTGGTACCTACATGTACCATGACCACCAGCTCCTCCCCAGCCCATTACACAAGTCTGTCTAAATGTCCTGAGAGATCTACAAACTTCACACTAGGCAGGTAATTCACCATGCAGTTCTCCTGGCCATCACAAACCCAACTATATATATTTCTAATAATCATATCCTCCATTACTATTACCTGTCTTCGTAATAACAGGGGTCCCCCACCCCAGAGAGGTATCCTCAGCGCGAGAGGATAACAGGATATCTTTTGGAAGGAGGGTTCCAACCATGAGATTGTTTCCCTCTACTCCCGCTTGATGCTCTCCTTCCCCAAGATATTGATCTTCCTCAACACAGAGGCTGTCACGCGAGGAGAGGGGCTCAACACAGAGCAGGGGTGGGAATACTCCATTATATCCCAAAAAACCTCACCTATGTACTGGTATCCCTTAGCTTTTCCAGTTCAGCCACTCTGGTCTCAAGAGCCCGTACTCTGTCTCTGAGGGCCATGAACTGCTTTCACTGAATGCACACACACGCCACCTGCCCACAAGGCAGGTAATCATACATGCTACATTCACTGCAATAAAATGGATAGCCCTCACTCTGCTGCTGGACTTCTGCCTGCATTTTTTTTACTCTTGCTGGGGGCTTTTTGGTTGTTTGTTCTTTAACAGGAAGGAACATTTGCAGGGGTGGGGGGAAGGGGTCAGCTGGTGGACAGGAGAATGTTTATTAGGTGTATCTGGCTCTCATGCTCCCTCTCTAAACTTCCTCACAAAAATCCTCTTTGTTAGCTCCTTTGGTCTCTTACAAACTGGCTTTTTAAACTCCTGTTCTCCATGAGTTAGCCCTCGCCCTCACCCTCCTTGTCAAGGGATCCTAAAGGAATTAGGGATTAAAGGATGGCAGGCTAGAGAGCTTCCTTAGGAAGCTCTCAGCTTTGCCTAGCACACCACTGGGCTCAGCATATGGCCTCCCCCAAACAGACCACACTATAAATGTCAATTAATCAGGCACACTGCAAGCAAGCAAGCGCACAAGACAGACAGAGACAGACAACAAACTCACCTAAGGGTAAGAGTCACTCCTCTTTCACCTGGAGAACTCCCTCGCAAAACTCCCATTTGCTGCTCCAGTTCGCTAGCTAGACATGAGGAACATCGATTCTATAACAGTTATCCTCCTTCTTTCCACTTGATGAGATAAACCATGACAACCCCATCATCTGTTCTCAATAATGCACAATGAATCTAGAATTCCTCTC